CCAGCCGGTCACTCGTAAAACGGGTACGATATCTAGATAATTACTGGAAAGTATTTGAATGATCCTTTTATTGATAATCTTGACTAAACTTTGATTTGTCTTCAAAGTTTAGAAAATCACTATATTGTTTAAAAGAAATTATTTTATTTAGCTTCTAAAGTCTCGAATGTAAGTTAGGGTTATGAAATCCACCTCAGTAACCAAATATTATCCTCATCGTAAAATATAAAAGTCTGGGGTTTGACGTCTAATACGGTCGTCAGCACACACTCCTAGGGAGTATCGAGTATAGTTACTTGATTACTTCAGTTTACGAACTGATGTTGAAGTTGAACAAACATTAGAAACAAATGAGTACTGAATAATCGTTTCATTCGAGTTACAAATTTCTCGACCAATACCTACCAACGATCCTAGTTGATAACATTAAACTCAGGATTACTATTATCATGTGATACAAAAATTAAACTAGAACTTAAAAGCAACACTTTTAAATTGAAGTCTCTTTTCTTAATCATTTGAATATAGATTTTGAGGCTTACATCATGAAATTAACTTTGATGATCAATAAAAATCAAGAAGCATCCCCCAGCCGTTTTGTTTTAGTATGTGACTCTTCAGTTGTATTCATTTATAATCCCATCCAGATGATTCATATACCTCAGTGAGCATTCAACCATTAGAATCACTAATCCAACATCCAATAGTTTGGATATACGTAACTTCAATCAATTCGCAGTACTATACAATCACTTTTCAAGTCATTATCTTCTCATTTTCAACAGTTAATCAAGATGAATATATGATGTAAACTAAATAATTCCCTCATCCCTTTAACCCCATTTCTTACCATTAAAACATAAATTGTTTCTTTTTATTCTGTGTCATCAAAATTTATTGTGTATAACCACCAACTGATTCAAATTATAGTTTCGTAATCATATATTTATTAATCTCTACCATTTTTTTTTACCTCTTATCAGTTTTTTTCTAAATATAAGTTGTTGTTCAGTGTCCACATCACGTGGTCTGTTATTATATATATATATATAAATACCGTCAGTTAAATCTTATGGACACAAGAGATGTCTTACTTCAATTGTAAAGGTTTGATTTGGGTGGTGATGGCTGTGTTAGTGATTATGTTGATAAATAATGAAAAAGAAGGTGGGGGAGGATGAAAATGAAATGTTCAGATAACAACAAAAAAAAGACTCAATATTTTTAACAACCACGATGACAACAACAAATGTTTTATTTTTCAAACTATGACTATTTAAACTATTACTCATTCATTCACTTATTCACTGTATATATTATTATTATTATTATTATTATTATTATTATTATGTAAGTAACGCTATGTTTTATAACCGAAGTAGAAATAAAGAGAGGAGGAAGAAAATCTAGTCAACAATTTTTAGTCTTAAAAAGACTAGAAATAAAACATGCGCACAAAGGAGAGAGCGAGCGAATAATAGTAAAATTAAATGTTTCAAGTAGTATATAAAGCATAATATATAATTATCAGTCATTAGTCTCTTTAATTTATGTATTGTTTTCATTGTATAAAATCTATTTTCACAGTATAGTATAGTCGGATTGACAATTAGAAAGATCACATTGTATAATGAGAAAATTATTTTAGACTAGATAACATCTATAAATTATTTAATCCAATGTTTAGTTACTATGACAACAACAACAACAATCGAGTCTTAACACGAATACTGTTGTTATTTAATCTGTTTGTCAGTAAATTGTTATAACCCTTATTAGTATTACTATTATTATTATTATTACTATTATGATTATGTAAGAATCTGGATGAGTGAGACATTGATATGTTTTCAGAAATTATCTGAATAACAAGCACTAGAGTGATTGTGTGTTGTTATTTGTCCGTTAAACTATAATACTATAGGAGGGGAGGAGATTAAAAAAATAACAACATTAAATTCACAAAGTATAAAGCTTGGCACATATATACTACATTGAGATAACTAAATCATTATCAGAGAGATTGTAGTAATTTTAATAGTTGAATTCATGAGTAGATGTGCGCTAGACCACCGTATCAGGTAGAGACAGGTATCTACCTCAGACAATAGATGGATGGTTGTTCAATATCATGGAGTTAGACACTAACAATGTTGGATGCCAAGTCAGTGATCTGGAAGAGACAATGAGGGTCTTGGGTTCGAGTCCCATATAAGGGGTCGTGGATGAACACTACTGAGGAGTCCTATGTGAAGACAAAACGGTTGTCTAATGCTTCCATGTTTTCAACTGTGGTCTACCTTGCATCGACTCATGAACTCAACTACTAAAAGTAACTAGATCAGTTTAAAAAGAAAAATCGAGAAAAAAATTTAAATAATGTAGCTGAGGTAGTCAACATTGAAAATGTAATTCTAAACGATTGAACAAGAGGTTATACCTGAAGGAATGTTCCAATTCAAAGTAGAAGAATCCAGTTTCCAAGACGCTCCTACAGTAATAACAATCATGTTCTCACTAGTGACTAGTTTCAAGAGGTAACTACATGAGTTATGATAACAATTTTGAAATTCCTATGTATGTTGTTATGACGAAAAGCCGAGACCAGTAGAGTTCACTCCGTGTTAGACGTGTGATAGCCATCCATCGAAGAGAATGGATGAAGGTTGTGCAATACTCCGAAGTAATTGAGTTTAGACATTAACGCCACTGGATCCCAACTAAGCAGTTTAGAGGTTCAACATTCTTGAGCGTAACTAAATTTCCTGGGTTCGATTGCCGTCCTCCGAGTCGTGGATGGGTACTGCTGAGGAGCCCCGTTCAAGGACGAAACAGGCGTCCAGTGATTCTTGACTTATAACGTTGATCTAGCTGAGATCATTTTATGATTTAAACTTTCAAAGTCTGGAGTTAGATAATTAATAAATGCATCTATACCATTGTAATAATTCTGACCCATTCAGCTCAATGTCTCCAACCACTGATCACAATTATGGTGAGGACCTTAACCAGGTATTCTCAATCAACTAACATGGGTCAGACCTACGATCACTGACATAATCAAAAGATCCTATATCTTGATTTAACTGCCCCTAGTTTTCTTCAAACCTACTCCTACACCAGACAACATCGCCCACCGATGTAGGAAGTGGTTATGCATAAGTAATACATGTCTCTACCACTCCAGTCGGATTTTCCATCTGTACCAAGTACCTTTCCTCCTTCTTTAGTAATGAATAATAATGTCACAATTTGTGAAACTAACCACGTTAGGTGTAAGTCAGCTACTCACCTATGAAATTAAATAATGATTACCCCATATGTATCAATAATAAACCTCTATTAGAAACTGTGGATTATCATCGAATTCTAGTTCATCGGATAAATATTAATTAACTCGCTACAAATGGTCTACATGTGTTTAGTTTGACGCCATATTGTCAAAACGTAATTATAATATCTAAAATAACTCGATATGAAATACTCGTCAAAATTTAACCAAATTTATATTATCAGCAGGCATTTTGTGGAGATTTTAGTAATTTTATAGTTGAATTCATAAGTCAATTGAAGCTAGACCACTATGGAAAACCTGGAAGCACTGGAGGTCCATTTTGTCCTATTGTGGGACTCTTCAGCAGTGCGCATCCACGATCCAGCCTCACGAGATTCAAACCCAGAACCTGTCAGTCTCGCACGCGAGCACTTAAACTCTAGACAACTGGGCAGGCATTCAACGGTGTTAATGTCTAACTTCAAAGAATCTATGAAATTGAGCAACCGTCTACCATTGTCATCAGTGAGTTACTAGATCACAACATACCTGGTTGAATTCTACTGGTCACGGTTTTTACATGAACTACACACCATTTGAAATTTAAATGGAATAACTACATTCTTTATCACACCGTCGGATGCCTGCTCAGTAGTCTAGAGGTTAGGCGCTCACGCACAAAAGTGATAGGTCTTAGATTCGAATCTCACGTTTAGGATCGTGAATGTGCACTGTTGAGGTGTCCCAATTGAAGAACATATGGAACTCAAAACAACTCTCAACCAGTTTCAAGGTCAGAATCTTTAATACGAACGTCAAGACAGTCCTACTGTATGGAGCTGAAACGTGGAGAACTACTATGGCCATCATCAGGAAGGTACAAGTATTTATAAATAGTTGTCTACGCAAAATACTCAACATCCATTGGCCGGATACTATCAGCAACAGCGTTTTATGGGAGAGGGCAAACCAGCTTCCAGCTGAAGAAGAAATTAGGAAAAGATATTGAAAGTGGATAGGACATACATTAAGAAAATCACCAATGTGCATCACGACTCAATCCCTAACTTGGAAGGCCAAAGAACACATTACGCCGGGAAATAGAAGCCGATATGAAAAGGATGAAAAGCAACTGGAAAGAACTGGAAAGGAAGGCTCAGGACAGAGTTGGATGGAGAATATTGGTAAGCGGCCTATACTCCTCGACGAGGGGTAACAGGCGTAAGTAAGTAAGTATCTTCAAAATGAATAAAATTTCCATGAAAAAATCTTTGAATAAGTATATTAAATAAAATTATATTTTAGAAAAATAAGTTATTTACATACTTTTGAAAAAATTAGTAATATACTCTATATGTACATAAAAAAACACAATCTGTATACAAGAAAAAAATATATGGATATATATAGATGTATATACTGGTAAGCTTTGTTCCATTCTTTCTAGAACTGTTCAATATCGAAATGATAACAGTTCATAGATATTATTCACTTGTTATTCCTTGAAATATCATCTCATTAATCAATGAAATTCTTTCTTTGAAATTCATCATTTATTCATAATTATCATATTCATTATTCATCATTCAAGCACTTTGTATAATGTGCTTACCATATTTGTTGTTTTATTTTGTCTAAAAGTGACCATTGATTCTTGTTTCATTTGACAGTTACAATGGTACAGTTAAATTTATAAAATAAAATAAAAAAAGAAACATTCAAATCATCATTTTGTAAATCGTTTGATTAAATAATAACTACAAAATATTCCAATTGTAATCAATAAATATTGATTTGTTTTATGTAAAATTTGTTTTTGTTTCCAACCATGTTTTCCTTTTTTATCATCATTTTGTTGACCTTGTTCATTTATTGATTTGAGCTTTAAAAAGAAAAAAAAAGCAACAATAGATATATAAATAAATAATTACAAAATTCATGACATTTTACGAGTAAAATATGTTACAAGGGGGTTTTTTGTGGAAATTTAGTAATTTTATAGTTAAGATCATGAGTCAATTGAAGCTAGACCACCGTGGAAAACCTGGAAGCACTGGACTGGAGTCCCATAATAGGACGAAACGGCCGTCCAATGCTTCCAGGTTTTCCACGGTGGTCTAGCTTCAATTGACTCATGATCTTAACTATAAAATATGTTACTATTTTTAGAATGTTATTTGAACTATGATTTTTACTGAATCACAAAGGGGTATTGTTAATTAAACAGGCTGGATAGGTTTTTATTCTCATTCATAATTTTCATGTCAACTTCGCCTGTAGCTCCTCTGGGGGTTACTGCCGGTCCCAAGCCCGGGTAAAGGAGGAGGGTTGGGCATGGGGTTAGCGACCCCATCCCGTAGAAAATCAACTCGCTAAAAAAACGCTAACCAGAAAAAATCATTAAAACCATTCAAACTCTGCCCTGGGAGTAGAAGGAATAACTATGACGTCTCATGATGAAAGCCGAGTTCCTTCGGAAGTCATGAGGCCGATGCACCTTCTTACAACCAGAACGACAATTTTTTATAGGTAAATGGAATGTCCGAACAATGTGGGAGACCGAAAGAGTCTTTCAAATTGCTTCAGAAATGAGGAAATACAACCTCGAGGTGCTTGGAATCAGTGAAACACATTGGACGTAGGTTGGACAACAACGACTGTCTTCAGGAGAACTTCTGTTATACTCCGGTCATGAAGAAGAAAATACCCCACATACACAAGGAGTTGCATTGATGCTGTCCAGAAAAGCACAAAATGCACTTATTGGATGGGAATCTCATGGACCAAGGATCATCAAAGCCTCCTTCAAAACAAAGAGAGAGGGCATTACAATGAACGTCATCCAATGCTATGCGCTGGCCAACGACTACAATGAAGACGCTAAAAACCAATTCTACGATAGGCTGCAGTCGATCTTCGAGAAGTGCCCAACCAAGGACCTGACCATACTGTTGGGAGATTTCAATGCCAAGGTCGGAATGGACAACACTGGATACGAAGACGTCATGGGACAACATGGACTGGGAGAAAGGAACAAAAATGGTGAGAGATTTGCAAACCTATGTGCCTTCAATAAACTGGTCATAGGTGGCACCATATTCTCACACAAAAACATACACAAAGCCACTGGGATTTCACCGGATCACACTACACAGAATCAAATCGATCATATTTGCATCAACAAAAAGTTCAGGAGGACGATGGAGGATGTGAGAACCAGAAGAGGAGCTGATATAGCATCCGATCATCATTTGCTGGTAGCCAGGATGAAACTAAAACTCAAGAAGCACTGGACAACGGTGCGGACAACATCACAAAAGTTTAATACGGCCTTTCTTCGAGATGCTGACAAACTCAACAAATTCAACATAGCCCTCAGCAACAGGTTCGAAGCCTTTCATGATCTACTCAATGGAGAGGGGACTACCATGGAGAGCAACTGGAAAGTTATCAAGGAGGCAATCGTTTCAACATGTCAAGAGGTTCTGGGCCAAAAGAAGCACCATCACAAAGAATGGATCACTGTTGGTACACTTGATAAAATTGAAGAAAGGAGGAAAAAGAAGACAGCAATCAATATCAGCCGAACGAGAGCGGAAAAAGACAAGGCACAAGCCAAATACACAGAGGCAAACGAGCAAGTGAAGAGGAGCATCAGAACCTACAAACGTAAATATGTGGAAGATTTAGCGATGACAGCGGAAAATTCTGCAAGAGAGGGAAACATGAGACAACTGTATGATACAACAAAGAAACTTGCTGGAAATTACCGTAAGCCAGAAAGATCAGTGAAAATCAAGGAAGGCAAAGTAATCACCGACATTGAAGAACAACGAAACAGGTGGGTAGAACACTTCAAAGAACTCTTAGATCGACCAGCTCCACTGAACCCACCAAACGTCGAAGCAGCACCCACAAACCTCCCAATCGATGTTGGCCCACCAACAATTGAAGAGATCAGCATGGCCATTAGACAAATCAAGAACGGCAAAGCAGCGGGACCAGAGAACATCCCGGCAGAGGCACTGGAAGCAGATGTAGCAGCAACTGCCAAGATAATCCACATCCTCTTCAGTAAGATTTGGGATGAAGAACCAGTACCAATAGACTGGAAAAAAGGACTTCTGATCAAGATACCAAAGAAAAGCGATCTTAGCAAGTGCGACAACTACAGGGGCATCACTCTCCTCTCAATACCAGGAAAAGTCTTCAACAGGTTATTGTTAAACAGGATGAAGGATTCTGTGGACGCCCAAATTCAAGATCAACAAGCTGGATTTCGTAAGGATAGATCGTGCACAGATCAAATCGCAACTCTACGTATCATTGTGGAACAATCAATCGAATGGAATTTATCACTCTACATCAACTTCATCGACTACGAGAAGGCATTTGATAGTGTGGACAGGACGACACTATGGAGGCTTCTTCGACACTATGGCGAGCCTGAGAAGATAGTTAATATCATACGGAACTCCTATGATGGACTAAACTGCCAAATCGTCCACGGAGGACAACTCACCGACTCGTTTGAAGTAAAGAACGGTGTTAGACAAGGTTGCTAACTCTCACCCTTTCTCTTTCTCCTGGTCATCGACTGGGTCATGAAGACGTCAACGTCTGGAGGAAATCACGGGATACAGTGGATAGGCAGGGTGCAGCTTGACGATTTAGACTTCGCAGATGATCTGGCTCTTCTATCACAAACGCAACAACAAATGCAGGAGAAAACGACCAGTGTAGCAGCAGCCTCAGCAGCAGTAGGTCTCAATATAAACAAAGGGAAACGCAAGACTCTCCGATACAATACAATATGCACCAATCAAATTACACTTGACGGAGAAGCTTTGGAGGATGTGGAAACCTTTACATATCTGGGCAGCATCATTGATGAACACGGTGGATCTGATGCAGATGTGAGGGCGCGGATCGGCAAAGCAAGAGCAGCATACCTACAACTGAAAAACATCTGGAGCTCAAAACAATTGTCAACCAACACCAAGGTTAGAATTTTCAATACAAATGTCAAGACAGTTCTATTGTATGGGGCGGAGACGTGGAGAACTACGAAAGCTATTATCCAGAAGACACAAGTGTTTATTAACAGTTGTCTACGCAAGATACTTCGGATCCGATGGCCAGACACTATCAGCAACAAGTTACTGTGGGAGACAACAAATCAGATTCCAGCGGAGGAAGAAATCAGGAGGAAGTGCTGGAAGTGGATTGGGCACACTTTGAGGAAATCACCCAATTGTGTCACAAGACAAGCCCTCACATGGAATCCTGAAGGTCAAAGGAGAAGAGGAAGACCAAAGAACACATTACGCCGAGAAATAGAGACAGACATGAGAAGAATGAACAAGAACTGGAAAGAACTAGAAAAGAAGGCCCAGGACAGAGTGGGTTGGAGAAAGCTGGTCGGTGGACTATGCCCCATTGGGAGTAACAGGCGTAAGTAAGTAAGCAATGATTTTCATCACAAAAAACAACTGTATCTCAATCAGAAGGGATTTTCGTGGAGATTTTTAGTAATTATATATAGTTGATATCGTGAGTCAATTGAATCTAGACTACCAAGGAGGACCTGGAAGCACTGCTTGACGGCCATTTCGTCTTATCATGGGACTCCTCAACAGTGTGCATCCATGATCCCGCCTCGCGAGCGAGAATCGAACCCAGAACATAACAGTCTTGCGGGTGAGCACCTAACCTCTAGACCATTGAGCCGGCATCCAACGGTGTTAATGTCTAACCTCAACCAATCCAATCTCAATCTCAAGAACAGATTCTATAACTTTATAATGTCATAAAGAGTAATAATATATTTAGATTACTGAAATTGTATTTAGTGATTCACAATTTCAATTTAATAGTTTAAATAATACCCTCCTTCTTTGAGACTGAAAGATTGTAGATTCAATGCTTCATACTGGGTATCAGTTGTGCTTCACTGGTAGGTCGATTATGAAGATATATCTGAAGTAAATGTTAAGAGCTATCTTCTTGTAAAACCAATTTTAAAAATTCAGTCAAACTTATAGATATTGTTTACATAACAGTTGGATTGTGACTAACGGTGCGTTATGTCTTGTTTAAAACTTGTCAGCTGGATGCTCAATATTAAAACCATTTGCACCGGATGAATATATGTGAAATAAAACTGACCAAATTCAGAGAAGAATATAGAACCAACGAGATACCGTAAAGTCTTACAAACAAAATTACATATTTTTGACTTATTGAATCCTTCATCTATTACCTATAACTATTGTACTAAGTATTTTAATAATATAGCTAATCAATGCACTATGTAATGTTTTTAAGTATATTATTATCTTTAGAAGGTATTCATCACTATCTGATCTAAATTGGAGTACTACACAATACTATTGAATACTAGATAGGTGCACATTGTCAAGGAGTTTCATACTAGGAAAAACACAACTATTCTGTGATCTTTATTTTCTAGTGGTACCCTAACTGAGGTCAGTTCATAAAGAACAACATCAAAAAAAATTAGAATTATCAGCATTATATACTGGATATCAATTTCAGAAAAATTAATGATCATATCTCTTAATCACCTTATGGGTACTAAAAACGAAAATTTATAGTTTACACAATCAGTATATCATCACTATCTCCTGTGATACGCATTTATTTTTTCAGCTAATTTGATGTTAAATGGTTGAACGTGGTCAGTTGGTAAGAAACTTTAGGTCTAGGCTTCAAGTTAGTTGACACTCATCAGCATAGTGTCCTTGCACTGTTAACGGGATTAATACTCCCCGTACGACTCGAATCCTGTTGACTACCTTAAACCACCTAAGATCAGGATATAATGCACGAATCAATTAGTCTTTTAGACTATATTGCAGCAGAACTAAATTATCAGAAGGGATTTTTGTGGAGATTTCAGTATTTGCGTAGTTGAAATCATGAGTCAGTTGAAGCTAGACCACAATGGAAAACCTGGAAGCACTGGACAGCCGTTTCGTCCTATTGTGAGTCTCCTCAGCAGTGTGCATCCACGATCCCGCCTCGCCAAATTCGAACCTAGGACCTGTCAGTGACCAATGTTCAAACAGATCTGTTGGGACATATCAACTCACTGAAGACAATCGGTGAACGGTTGCTCAACTTCGTGAATTGGTTGAAGTTAGATATTAACACCATCGGATGCCGGCTCAGTGGTCTATCGGTTGAGTGCTCTTGTGCGAGACTGGTAGGTCCTGGGTTCGAATCTCGCGAGGGGGGATCGTGGATGCGCACTGCTGAGGAGTCTCACAATAGGACGAAACGGCCGTCAAGCAGTGCTTCCAGGTTTTCCCTGGTGGTCTAGCTTCAAGTGACTCATGATTTCAACTATGCAAAGAACTCAGTTAGTCGTAAGGGACAGTACAAATATGAAACTAGTTACTACTCAATTATAAATTAATTTTAGTCGATTTTGAGTATCATTTAATCATCATTCAATATTGAATTAATTAATCAATTACTTAAAGAGCGTTAATATTAAAATAAATCACAACTATGATGTAATTGACCCATCACCTTATTGTCTTCATTCTAACCTTAATTATTCACACTGTCAAATGAACTGAAAAGTTATGCCAGAACTTTATTTTCTTTTTGAATTGCTTATCTATTTCTCTATTGCATAATCACTTGTAATAATAATGATAATAGTAATAATACACATAAATACTTTATTACCACATTCATGCTTCATAGAGAGAAGTTAATTCCTTTTATAATATGATTACAAGTTCACAGTTTAACTTGTGGTTTATACACCAACACTAAAAGACATACAACAAACTCTCTACTTATTTAAGTTTTTAGTAGTCTACTAATAAATTACTCTATTTTAGAAATAGGATTTTGTAATTATACCTAAGCATATGTGAACATACACCCATACACATCCTCAATAAATAGGGGGTAGACATATACACGTTATCAATATAATGCATTATTATTATTATTATTATTATTATTATTATTATTATTATTATTATTATTATTATTATTACTGTCTTACAATGTAACCACAGAAATCCAACCCGCATAATTTTTTTAAACAAAAACAAAACTGATTCCAATTTAGTGAAGTCTATAGACTGAGGTCATCATCATCTTCATTACCTGTATGTCGAATTTCTCTCACTATCTGTGTACAATTATGTATGTGATTATAATAATTTGTTAGCCTGTGTTTTAGACTTTTCGATTTATTCACATTTTGAAAAAAAAAAAGTTTATGCATAATTCAAACAAGTTTACTATGGAATAAAAAAAAGTAGAAAGAATGGTGACGATGATGTTGATGACCTTAAAGGATAGATAATAATAAGTGGCTGACGAATTTCTTCAACATATTTATTCATATATTTTTATATACATATATCATCATCGTCACAAACCCCCCTCTCTTTCTCTCTCTCTCTCCGTCCCACCCCATCTCACTTCATTTCATCTCATTATCATCATTATTTAGTCTACCTCAAGTGATATAGATATAGATATATACCCTATATATATATCCTAAAGAAATTGTTGTATGTATGTAAATTCTACCAAATAATTTTTCATATGCAAATAAACACGCTACCCTGTGGTGTTATCACTGCCATTACTATAATATTGACATAGATGTTAAATGATGACTCATTCTCATTTTTCTCATCCCGTTTCTATTTTTTTTTATTTTCGTGTATATAAAAAATGGTTTTCATTTTTGAAAAAAAAAACCTGACAAAAACCACCTCTCACTATATGCTATTAAAACTATCTTTTCTTTTCATCAATTTACTGTTAAGTTTAATGACGGTATGTATAAAGAAGAGGAAAAAATTTTTTTTTTAATAATAATAATTTTGGTCAACAAATAAATAAATAAATAAATAATTAAAATCAAAATAGAAATCTGATTAATTTTCTATGAAAATAATACAGTCTTATTTGATTATGGGAGATAGAATGGATGATATTCATAGTATTGCTTAATTGTTAATGATGAGATTTTATCAAGTTGAGATCATGAGTTAATTGAAGGTAGACCACTATGGGAAACCTGGAAACACTACTTGATGACCGTTTCGTCTTATTATGGGACTATTCAGCTGGATATACCTGCATCTCAGAGTTGATGTTCATTCTAGGACTGGAACCCATTACTGTACGCTTCAAACGCCATCGCGTTATCCACTCGGCCATTGAGTCCTGTTAGCCACTTGCTTGTGCAGTGGAGTGAAGTTTAAATTCATTCAGTATTGTTTGTTTGAATCTTCCCATTGATATTTAGGACTGCAACTGATCAGTCTCTAATTGGCGTCTCTGCTTACCATGCTTGTGAATTAAGGTATATCGAGGCAATACGCACAGTATGCACATATGCCAATTAGAGACTGATCAGTTGCAGTCCTAAATATCAAAGGGAAGATTCAAACAAACAATACTGAATGAATTTAAACTTCACTCCACTGCACAAGCAAGTGACTATCAGGACTCAGTGGCTGAGTGGATAACGCGATGGCGCTTGAAGTGAGGGTACTGGGTTCGAGTCCCAGAGTGAATATCAACTCTGAGATGCAGGTACATCCAACTGACGAGTCTCAAATAGGACGAAACGCGCTTTGTCATGGATTCCACTGCTAGCCACTATCCATCTTTGCTAACCAGAGAATTATTGAAAAATAGGAATGATTAGATATTTGTGGTTGTCTACAGTTTACAACTTGTCAGTAGTGTTCATTGACGATTTTTTTTAAGTTCAAATGTAACTAGGAACACATTACTTCAAATTTATTGAGTAAACATTCTGTATTTCAATTAATTTTCAAAATGATGTAATCATATCTCACCTTGTTGATTTAATTGACTCTGTAGATAATGGATTTTCCTCAAAATTTCGAGAAATCGTCTCTATTTATTATATTCATACATTTATATGTATATAAGTAAATACTGAATAAATTGTAAGTAAAGTATTTTCATAGTTGAAAGCGTCAGCCGATTGAAGCCAGGCCACCATGGATAACCTGTCTGATAACTGTCTGACGGCCGTTTCGTCCTATTATGGGACTCCACAGCAGTGCACATCCACAATCCCGCCTCGCGAGATTCGAACCCAGGACCTACCAGTCTCACGCCAGAGCACTTAACCGATTGACTCACGCTTTCAACTATGTAAATACTAAATCTCCACAAAATCCCTTCTGAAAATAATGTATTTATTTAGACCGATTAAGCATAAAAAAGCTTTTTTTAAATTTCATTCATCTACCTTTTTATGAATTGTTGAACATTGAAACGATCCATAATTCGGTTGAGAAATTCTTTCACATTTTCGTTTTAATTGATTATCTTTGAATTCATTGTCAATTTCATCTGCAATTTCGATTAACTGTTGTATGATTTCATATTCAAGTGCTTTTTGTACATTCATAATTATTTGATTACTAATGAAAAATATAAGTAGTATATAAAGTAAGGTTGGAAAATTCATGGTCATTACCCTTGAAAATGTATATTTTTTGTAATAATAAAAAAAATTACAACTTAGTTGTATGCATTTTATTACTGTTCAATTCCGAGTACTGAGTGATTTTTTTTTGAGTTTTCATTGCCACTGTAGAAAATATTATCAAGTATGAGTGAGACATTTGGAAAATTATTCCACAGATGAAAACCGTTGGGTTCGAGTTCAGGAATGAACATCAATCCGGGTTCAGGTGCATCCAGCTTCAGAGCCTCAAACAAGATGAAATGTATCTCCTAGATCCTAGTGCTGACCACTATCCATCTGTGCTTAAAATACTAGTGACTTAATGTCAATATCAAAGCAAACGGCACAGAATGCATATATATCAAAAGAGACTGGTCAACTTTAGTCCTAACACATCAATGGGAAGATTCAAACAACCAATATATACGGATTAAAACTAATTCAGTTTGTTTTGATGATTTTTTTCACGTTTTTGACTGATTTTTCTTCACTAGTGTCTAAAGTGACAATGAAAACTTCTCAATGTTAAAAACCAATTCATAGAATGAAATATAATCAAAAAAATATAGATTTGATAACGATATTCACCTCAGACCAATAGTAATATAGTATAACATTATACAAAGTCTATATGTCTATCTCTCATAATAAATTGAGAGTAACCTAAATACTAGCCCATGAATAAGTCAATATCTATTTACATAATTCATGATCACATGATTAACTCATCTAGGCATACAAAATGGCTCTCATCATCACCAGTGTTTTTTTTCTCTAATTTACATTATATACGTTGTTTAAAACACTTAGTTGATAACTCAATATTCACACAATAAACTATCTTACATGAACAATGAGTTGTACTTTAATATTCTATTCCAAGTTTTATTTTCTCATTTCATTTCTATTCTTATTGAAATGATTATTTGTTTTTTTTTGACGTTTTATTAGTTATATTTTCTTTGATAGGTTTATTTTACATTGTGCTGCTCTTCAAGGTAATTGTTGTTTCAAGTAAATACCTATAAAATATGGAGTTAAGTAATGAGTATTAGAGACATTTCGTTCTTATAAATGGGGAAATGAGAAGATAACCGATTACAGTCCTGGTGATTAGGCGTATGCGTTAGTGTGTGATGTTTATTCATACATATATAGCTACAAAATTTCAAACAGTAAGAAACAATTTATTAAATGGAATATGCTCTTCAATGAATGTGTTTTAATCTTATAGGAGTTATAAAACATTTTAGTAATGGAATTGTTAGGATGTGTTCAAGCCTGTTATGAATAAACAGACTCAACCGAACTCTAATCCTTATATTTGGTTTACAAATGCCATTGATACTATATTTATTTTTAGTTATTTGCGTAGCATCTGGTTAATTTCGTCTATTTGTAGTGATATGATGTGTAGAAAATCTATATTTATATCCAAATCTATACTTGGTTGGTAACAGGCGGACAATTCAATGTCAACCTAGATACTAGTTATGTTATTTAATTTTCAAGAAAAACAAAAAAAAATTAACAGATAAATGTTATTGGTATAAGATCAATCAAGAATAAGTCGTATATAACATGTACACATTATAACATATAAATACATAAAAGACAATTTTTTCTCATAATGTTACCAACCAAACAGATTGTGTTCATCTAAGCAACAAATAATTACATCATAGAATGACATAGGTTAGAAAATTGTGCATCTTGTTCAATTACTCTTATCAACAATGCAGATAAATGAACTTCACATGAAATGGAATTAGATCATTCAACTTGTGGGAAATCTTTATGATATCACCTAATGTTTTTTGGTTTAAAATGTCATTTCTTGAGGTGATCTAGCAAATCTTAATTGATTATCACAACTTTCTAAATGAGACTAGAAGAGAATTAGAGTTACAAACATTGAGTTGAACAGCTTGATATGATCAATTGTGATCGGATAAAGAAGTAACTTTCATAGCTTTCTTAGTTTAATACCTATGGTTTTGAGATTCAGACTGATATAATACTGACTTGGTGCTAACATACGACTTTATTAAGAATTTTAATAACATGTAGTGTCGATAATTTATGATGAAATGTCTTACATAGCTTGTCATTGTCAATTAATAATAGCGACTTTGTAATAGCTACTACTTACAAGTAGTAAAACATCTATTGAATAAAATAAAGAAATATTTTAAATCGATGGTCCGATTACAATTTATACTTATGGTCGATTGCCTTATTTTGGAAACAATGCATAATCGATTTCAGTTTTCAGTAAAAGCACATCGTTACCAAAGATAAGTGTACTTATTCCACTTGTTCATATGTAAGACTATTATGAATTATTGACTCCGTCATTATACATTTTTATGAATATTCACCATAGTGTGACGTTTTACACATACATATCTATATAAATCTGTTTGGTAAACCTTATAGACACATATGCTCATTAGTAATTAGCTTTAAGATAAATTCCTTGAATTTTCGGTGCAAAGGACCACAATGTAGGTCACTAGTCAGATAGCCAATAAGACAAACATCTCACACATGAGGAATAAAGCTATAACATTAATATACTATAATTGAAATTATATCCAATATGATATTCCAATTCACTATTATCGTAAAACATCAAGGACTTTGGTCTGATCTATTGTCAGGTTATGATTCACTATCACTGATTAGTTCTAAATTAGGATAGAACAATTAAGCTGATAATATACTGAATTGCATAGAATTAATGGGACTGATGGTTGATAAAAGACTTACCTAAGTATTTTAATTATTATTAAATCCAATAATCCAAAAATTGGTTATATTTCCCACGTTAATTTCGAGTATTTCCTATGTCCGAATTTTCCCAGAGCACGTGATCGAATGATTAGTTTATTCATATTCCTATATTTATTTATTTATTGTCATGATTAGTCATGTTTTTAATGAAAATCATTCTTATTTTTAAAAGAAAAAAAAACAAATGCCAATTCTTTCTTTTTTGATTGGTTAATTCAATTTTTATTAGTTTAACCTATACAATTGATATAGGGGTGAAAAATGGGTTAGGATAGTTATAAATTTCCCCTTCATATTGGTGAAAAAGACAAAATAAACAATAAAAAGAAAGTGAAAATTAACCAATCAAATCATCATTTGACTGTGTTAGTTTTGGGTAAGTTTTTAATGTTTGATTGAAAGCAAATATTTCAATCTTTTAATGTAACATTTTAAAGTATACCCCTTGTTTATCAACTAGTATATGTACTTGATTTTAAGCAGACGAGAAAAGGGAGAACCGATTTTGTTCCTATTAAATTATCAGGATGAAAAATGACTGTTTAGAGTTTTTATGAGATGATTGAAAGGGGTGGACATCCATTTATACTTTAGTATTTTATTGGAAAGCTCAAATTTTCATTTTTATTTTCGCTTTTGATGCATTTAATAATGCTAGCTATGTTGTGTAATAGTATGGGGTCCAGCTCAAATTTTTGGGTTATCTATTCCTCAAATTTATAGATTTCTTTTAAACTGAATAATTATTGGTAGTTAACCACATGTACTCAAACGCCTATATAGATAGCAAGTAACCTATTTATGAATCTAATTGCCATACAACTGTATTGAAACCCCTTCGGTGGTCCCAGTAACCTCTTCTATGTCTGTAGTTTGGATAAAGGAAAGAAGCCACAATAGAATCCATGCATAAAATGTATTATGCTACTGAAGTTAGATATTTAATTCGTTCGATGTTGATTCAGGAGTCCACGTTGTGAGACATGAAGGTCCTAAGTCTGATCCGTGGTGGAGTCATAGATGAACACTTCTGATTAGTCCTGTACTAGAACAGAACAGCTGTTCACTGGTTTGAATTTGTTGTCTAACTAGGATCAATTTGTAGTTTAAACTATGAAACTCTGATTAATAGTAAAAAAAAGAGATGTATGAAATGAGCAAAGAATATATTTTTCCATAGTTGAGATCATGAGTCAACAGATTCTCATTAGATAATACAGTTATTAATCCAAAATAATGTTTAAAAGGAATAGATAAGTTTAAAGAAAATATACTCCTGTAGTAGTTACACAATGTGAATTTGGAATTAGTATCACCATCAGAAAGGATTTGAATAATCCTGGTGTAAACAATAATGCTGACTGAATGCTTTATCAGTTTTAGTTAGCATATACGTATCCTGTGTAATATAGCCAATTTTCACAAGTTTCTTTAAGATTTAGGATTATTAGCAAAATTAAAACAAATTTGTTCACGTATTAATATTCAATATGTAGTATCAACTTGAATAAGTTCAAACGTTGGTTTTAGTTATGAAACTCATAATCAGTATAAGTACAAGATTCGAACCAGCATATCATACAGTACTACGAATCTATACTACTTCCTACTTGAAAATCTGCGCCATCAGTTGAATGAACATGATTTTATCCATCGGTTCCATTTTTATACAAATTTAAGAAATTACAAGACAAGAATGGCTGTTTAATTAGAATAATAGAATTATTCACTTTAATTTACTTTAAATGTCCTTATTTACTTAGAATGTGTATTATTTAACTATGGACAATGCAAGAGATAACTTCTGGAATTTCTGGTTAGAAGTTGGTACTGGTTAAGTTAGTATTAAATAACGAAATTGGTTCATATTTAATTTCTTGTTCATTTAGTTAATAGGACTTTAGTTAGTAGCCAGTATCAAATATAATTTATGTACGTAGTTTTTACCATGGAATGACATCAACTATATCAACTGATGACAACCACCTGGATGAGATTTACATGATTATTGTGTCTAATAGTTGAAGGCATTTGATGACATAACTTCCAATCGGTTTCAATGATACAGATGCGAACGTCATCTTTTGTCCTAGATTTTGAGTTTTAAAATTATTTTATATCTTTTATTCTGTGAATTCATTCATTCTTTCTAAATTATATTGTCTGTAACTAGGATTTTTACTATCAGTGACATTATTATTATTATTGTTATTATTATTTTTACTTCTACTACTTTAATATTCACCTTGATAACTTCATCCCAATGCCCTGATGCGATGTCGGGAGTTGAAGCAATGTAAATATATACCAGGTTCTAAGTTGAGCATGATTAACCAACTAACTAAACCTCTATAATTTTCAATAATACCCCATTCCCATCAATGAATTTCATCCTGGAGTAAAAAACACATTTATTTAAGTTAATTCCTAAAACTAGATGTCATTGGTACCTGTTAAACATGTGTAATAGATTTTCAATTACGTAGATAGAATATGGCTAGCAGAAGAATCCCGGGCACATGTTTCGTCCCACTTTCAGAACTCGTTAGTTGGGTTCACATGAATCTTAGATTTCATGTTTGCTTCATAATTCAGAGCCAATAAATTTCA